ACGACCTTGACATTCATAGAAAAATTGAACTGCATCTCATATAACAGAGAAAAAAAAAAAAAATTTACATAATTTACTTTCGATCTCTTGTTGTGTATGTGTAGTCGAGATCAGGACAGACAAAATAGAAAACACGTGAAATAAACTTACTGTACGCTAAATTAAAGGTACGCGCTGTGCAAAGATAGATAACTCTATTATGAAAAGTTCTTTCTACGATGTCCTGAATCTGGAGGATCGTGCTTTTGCGTCAGGATCTGTTTAATTCTAAGCGTTTCCGAATGATTCTAAGTGCGTCATCAATGGGTGTGTTGGTAAAGAGAGAGACAAAATCATGTGAAATGAATTCTTCGTCTTCCTGAATCATGATGAACCGGGAACATTGAACCGATGAAACAAAACGTTTTGCCAAGGAAGGCATTAGGAAATTCAAATAAAAAGTTAGAGTTACAGAAAGTATATAGATGTGCGCAACAGATTTTGTATCACTTTTGCGTACCCAAATATGTGACATAAAAGTAAATCCCCATTTCGTTTTACTTCAGGCGTGTCAAGTGGACTAAAAATAAACGAAGGCAACTATAGAGTGACACGTGACTTGTACATAAAACCACCAGTTATTTTACAGTGATCCAGTTATTGTGTCTTCTCTGCATCCGATGTCTTATACAAAGACTGCATCATACCCATTGGTTATTTTGAACGTATCGACGATTGACCAAGCAGACAGGATCAAATGGTCGTCGTGTACCAGCCCGGTACACCACAGCATGCCTTCTCAAGAATTTATGTAATGAGTGGCCGTACGTCCGGCTATATTTAAACTTACATAACCATTAAACAATCATAAAGAGCACAATATTAATAAAATGTTTAGAATAGTGTGAAACACGGAAGGCACCGGAGATTGAGTCACAGTTAAAAATTAAAACAAGGACTTGAAAGCCAGTCATAATGATACCCAGCTCGACCATTGAAGTATTCAATTTCAGCCAATCCACAGGGTTCACCTTCAATAGGGAAATTTAAAAATCGGCCTTTTACCCTTGTGTATTACTACCCCAATGCATTATCTCTATAAATTAACACCACTGAATGTCGGGATGGAGTAATCTAGATTCTGCGCCAATTGAAAAAATTTGAGTTATATCTATATTTCTCTCTGCTTTCTAATAACCTTTCAATAAGCTTTACAGTTTCCGGATGTAGGCAAAAATGGAAAATAATAGAAGGCACAAGAAAACAAAATAAGTCGAAAGTAAAGATACCACCAAATCAATGGCTTTTACGTGAAATGAAAAACATATAAAAACAAATAGCTAAAATTTTATCTCCGGCAAAAGCTTCTGCAAATCGAGCTTGTTGTTAACTCAGTTTAGCTAATATGATGCTAAAATTATCAAAAAATAAATAAGAAATACTATTACTGTGCATTGTCTTCTGAACGGAGCATAATAACAAAATATCAAATAGATGTTCTGCCTATTCAGAACTTCTTGTTACGGCAGTACTCGGATCTTTCTGCTGTTCAAATCACTTTTTGAGATGACCCCTTTCTTATTGATTGAATCACTGAAACGACCCCTAGTGTTGTAACATCGGATATCGTCAGTGGAGCTATATAAACACAGTGCATGTAGCTCATTACTCGTAATATATGGGCGCATCTTAACGTTCGGTCATAACAACCTGTATAACCCTGTTTTCAGAATATACGTTTAGTGTGTAGCGCACGTGTAAGTAGGTGTTGGTTTAAATGTCACCAACTGTGTTTGTTACCTGTAAAAAAATCGCTATTCAAATTTTACCAGATTTCTTTTCTATATACTTTATTTGCTTATTTTCGAAAACATCAAACAAAGTAAAAACAACCAGATACAGCAAACCAACTCCTTCATGAAGATAATAGGACGCTAATCGCAAACACACGAAACCATTTTTTGTTTACAATTGGCACTGTTTCTGAATCGATAACGTAAGTGTGGGCAAGTCTATTTATTTTTCAATAACTTGGGTGTTAGAAATTGACCCAGTTCACCGCGTATGAATATATGTAAATATTGCCAGACTTCTTTCCGCAAACCTCGTGTCAATGTTTACAAACAAATGCTAGCATTTAGACTATCGTGCGTTCGACACACCAAAATAAAAACATTGAATTTTATTTTTGTAAGAGTGTTATTTTTTTTTAATTAAGATGCTTTTGTCAGCTAGTGTCAGAAGCTACAGTCGCGATTGTTCCTCGGTACAAAAACGCTCCATCAGCTCCACTCTCTCATCCATGAGTGTCGGCCGCCATGACACAGAAACGATGGCTATCGTTCCAAGAAATGTAGGTCAAATTTCTCGTCTCCCAACAGTCACCTGGCCGACAAACGATTTATCCTCATCATACATGTCATCTGTACAAACCTCTTGTATGCTTACAAACAGCAATTTCAATAACTGCATATTAAATTTCCACCAGGCCTAGGCTAGTCACTATCGCTCGACGACATGGTAGCACTCTCTTTTTCCCGTCTTTGGGCGCATCACTTTCAAACGATGGACGTACGCGGCCATTATTATTTTCTGCATAGTATTTTGCCTCAATTTCATACAAATATAAAATTGTTTATTCCATTACCTACTAACACATTGATGAAGATATTGTATGAAGTAAATTATGGATATTTTATGTGAATAAAAATATTGAAATGGAGGAACTTTTTTCTTTTGTTGTCACGGAGAAAGTGTGCGGGGTTTTGCTGTCTGCGAATGGCTGTTTCGCATGGATTAATATGTCGTCAAGATAATTTTGAACGCAAATTACAAAAGGTAGATGCTTGTATCCGACTCTTTTAATGGTGTTATTGTTAAAAGAAAATATTATAAATATAAGGATTAGCCTTTTATTTTGTTTAGTTTATGAGATAATAAATCCAATGGAGCACGAGGCGAATCTCCCGTTTCCATAATGTTTGCAGAAATAGCATTTAATCTGTTGTTCTATTTGTAACATATTTGATTATTATATTTACTTCTTAAGCTTACTTTACCTCCATAAAAAAACAATGACGCGCCAGAAATCGCTACGTCATATCAACATACACACTAGGATAAAACGCTCATGAGAAAAACGTTGAGAACGCGAGTACAATTCGCTTGCAAGAACTACAACGGAGAAACTGATAGGCTACTTTTGGTCAAACTTGGTAAACACCTTAATATATGGAAACCCAAATGCTAAAGAAAATATCCCGATCAGGAAGAAAGCTATCGCAGCCCCAGATCAATAGATCATGCTACACAGCAAAACCATGTTATTGACTTTACAAGAGTCGGGCCAAGAGAGCATCCTGTTCAAGAGGTATAAAAGAAAACAAGCAATTTGACACTTTTGCACATCAATGACATGGTATAAAACAGAGTGTTGCCACAAATGAGTGTAAATACGCTAATAGCAAAGCTGAATTACCAGCGACTTGTTGCCAATTTGTCTATTGTTCAAACATCAAGTTTACCAATCATTTGTATGAAGGAAGATTACCATAACTCACATACGGGTAAAATGATGATAGATAAATTATATCCGTCAAATTTACATAACACCGTATTTCAGACGCAGGAGCGCACAAATCATTTCTTACAGCTATATGTTCCTGGCAAGTTCAGGGACAGATAGGATTCTTAACGGCCTATCAACATAAAAGAGGTCATAAGGACCGTTAAACTTGTGAAAGGAAATGACATCAAACGAACGGCAAGGTTAAACCGACCTGCGGCCAGTACCAAGCGACTGTCCCATGACGATCTCGGACCCAAGACTCAGTGATGGAGGGTTAGTGATCGTAGGCGGTCAGATGCCTTAACCACCCGGCCATTGTGACCCCCGACCCAGTGGTGGAGGGCTAGTGATCGTAGGCGGTCAGATGTTTTTAACCAATCCGCTACCGAAGCCCCCGACCCAGTGGTACAGGGTTAGTGATCGTATACGGTCAGATGCCTTAACCACTCGGCCACTGTGACCCCGACCCAGTGGTGATGGGTTAGTGATCGTAGACGGTCAAATGCCTTAACCACCCAGCCACTGTGACCCCGACCCAGTGGTGGAGGGTTAGTGATCGTAGACGGTCAGATGCTTTAACCACCCTGCCATTGTGACATCCGACCCAGTGGTGGTGGGTTAGTGATCGTAGACGGTCAGATGCCTTAACCACCCGGCCACTGTGACCCCCGACCCAGTGGTGGAGGGTTAGTGATCGTAGACGGTCAGATGCCTTAACCACCCGGCCATTGTGACCCCCGACTCAGTGGTGGAGGGTTAGTGATCGTAGACAGTCAGATGCCTTAACCAACCGGCCACTGTGACCCCGACCCAGTGGTACAGGGTTAGTGATCGTAGACGGTCAGAGCCTTAACCACCCGGTCACTGTGACCCCGACCCAGTGGTACATGGCTAGTGATCGTAGACGGTCAGACGCCTTAACCACCCGGCCACTTTGACCCCCGACCCAGTGGTGGAGGGTTAGTGATCGTAGACGGTCAGATGCCTTAACCACTCGGCCACTTTGACCCACGACCCGGTGGTGGAGGGCTAGTGATCGTAGGCGGTCAGATGCCTCTACCTTTCGGCTGACACGGATCAGGTCTTCGAACGTAACATTGTATTCGGTTTGACTATTGTAATGTCGATGTACATGACTATGTTTACGTCTATTTATATAACTGCATCCTGGACTTGACAAATTCCCTACAGAGTCCACACAGTCGTTGCATCCAATAGGGTGCAACCGTACCAAGAAGTCTTACGTAATGCACCTCTCGAAGACCAGCCGTATTGCCATGCTGGTGATCAACCATTTACAACCAACTATTTCACATACACAAATTCCACTGGCCCCCAGTTTTACTTTTAAACACCGAAATCAGTGTGTCCAGGTTACTATGACCATTGGTAAATTATGATAAACTTTATAATTATCACACTGGATCAACCAAACAGAATATATCAAATAAAGCAAGGAATTTTATACTTTATTATGAAAACCAAATGACAAAACCTTCAACCGACAATTGGCTGAGACTGGTCCAATGGTGACAGTAGGTATCCAGAAAAGGTACAATATACCTCACTGTGCGTTCCATAAAGTATCGACGCACTCTGGACCCCGACGTAGACCACGTCACCACTCATTAGGGTGAGTGTTACCGCGTTACTTCCCGCCGCGTACGAATTCGCGTCGTAGGCGTAGGCGGACACGACGTACATGAAGTTGTGGTAAAGCTCTAGGTAAAGTTCCTCGCCGGTCTCGGACAGCCCGTGGAAGTGGAACACGTAGACACCGGGGATCTTGGCTGTGAATGTTCCCGTGCTCATGTCAAAGCCATTCCCTAAGTTGGAGAATGGTAAATTCCAGAGGACCTTTTTGTAGGCGGTGATGTTGAGATTGTTTGTTAAGCCCACTGAGAAAGCGACTTCACTGAATCCTAAAAAAACAAGAATGTACTGAATTGTCTACAAAACCGGAATTCAAAACATATCAAACTATGTTCAAATGTGAACAAACGAAATATTTATTATGACACCATTGAAACAAGAGGCCCAATGGGCATGCATCGCTCACCTGGTACTAATCTCACACTTGTAACCTTAAAAGTGCTCTAAAATAAAGCTACAAGCAAAATATCAATATTCATGACTATAAGTCATTCAAAAGAACCCGTAAAAATATTTTAAAACATTAGACCCCTGTGACCTTGAAAGTCGAACAAGGTCATTACATTGAACAAACTTTATAGCCCTTCATCTCATCATGCAACTTGCCAAATATCACCACCCTAGGCATTTGCTTTAATGAGATTAGGTCATTTGAAGGTTTATATATATCTGACCAAATATGATCTTGAAAGTGGGTCAAGATCATTCAAATGATTTGATAGCCCTTCATCTAAGCATGCAACTGCCAAAGTCGTTTAAAGATTTTGAACATATTAGACTCCGTTTATTAGAACAAACTTGGTAGCCCTTCATCCTAGCATACTACTGGCCAGATATCATCACCCTGGGCCTTTTGGTTATTCAGAAGAAGTCGTTTAAAGATTTCAAACATATTTGACCCCAGTCTTGAATATGGGTGAAGGTCATTTATTTGAACAATCTATGTAGCCCTTCATCCCAGCATGCAACTGGCCAAATATCATCACCTGGGCATTTTGGTTATTCAAAAGAAGTTGTTTAATTTTTTAACATATTTGACTCCTGTGACCTTGAATATAAGTGAAGGTCATTTATTTGAACAAATTTGGTAGCCCTTCAGCATCACCCTAGGCCTTTTGGTAACTTAGAAGAAGTTGTTTAAACTAAAATATTGACGCCGGACAACGGACGGACGACGGACGCCGCGCCACGGCATAAGAATAAGACCGGCTGTTCCGGAAGGGTTAGGATTTAACGTCCCCGGAACAGCGATGATTGTATGAGGACTGATGCCTATGGAGATACATCCAAAAAGCAGAAGTAGAAAATTAAAAAAACAAGTACCTCAGTGTTGCAATCGGGATAGAACATCAATTTTGGATTTTTCAGTGTCCTCTTAGCAGGAGGCACTCAAGAAAAATAACCGATTATGCAGGGGGCTTACATTAGTCAACAAAACCGGATGGCAGGGACTTGTATTTCAAGCTCATTTGTTTGAAGCAGCAATAGGCTCGACGCACTCCAACTTGTCCACTTTACACGCATTATTATTGAACTAATTAATGAACGAATTTGGCAACAAAGTATACCTCTTCTTTTGCTTATCAAAACAATCTATTTTGGAACTTTAGATATTTCAGGAAATATTCGCTTTGATGTTATAATTATGTATGCAAAGATGAACATGTTATTTCAAGAACAGCGCACAGCAAGACAGTTCGGTACATATCTCCATTTGGTCTCACTCATTTTTTTACTGTTATGCACGGTTGCGTTTATACTAAACTTGTCAATATAACATTACGATACATACAATCACATGTATAATATTACCGCTAGGCCCGCCGTTATTCCCAGAAACCGTCTTTGACAGGAGGGCTCCAGAGAATGTGCAGTACACCTGGGATTGAGCTCCGAAAAGTTCTACGTCATATTGAGGGTTTGCCTTAATGGTCACATCGTCGTTTTTTTGCAGATGAAGAATGACGCTATTTGCAGCATCTCCCCATTCGTTAGTTGTATATGCATACGCAGACAGTACGTAATCGGCGTTCTTGAACAGCTCCAGATACACCTCCTGCAAAAGGAAAAACACTATGAAAATATACATATTCATAGGATACACATTCTCAAATTCTATTTTTTTTTTTTTTTTGCAAATAAATTTGATGTTCATCTGCAACAAGTAAAGCAAACGGAACCAGTATAGGTTCGAAGATTTGTTTATGTGTAGTTTAGATTAAAGTCATATGAAGACAAATATTATATCTATTCCGTCTTTTCGTATTGCAGAGTTATCTGCACTTGTGAGCAGGTATCGATTGTTACGTCATTTGTTTGTGAGAGTAACGTCATCAATTTTTGAGAAAACGACGTAATTTTCCCACACAAACCAATGATTTAACAATCAATACCTGCTCATAAAAGAAGTTAACTCTGCAATACGCAAAGACGGAATATATATTTATTAAGACATTAATGACGAACGCTTACATTTTATGACAACTGGGACTCAGTTTCAGTTGACCTATTGCGATCGCCTTTTGTCCGTCGTCGTGAGTCCTTAAATTATTCACATATTTGCTTCTCTAAAATAGTTGAACCGATTTCAATAACAGTTTGCAAGAAGTTTCGATCGTCAAAGGCAAGCCATAAGTGTGGCTTATATCATCTAACTCCCGCTCCGAGGCCTGGAAGCCGGACAAAAAGGGCTCTAATAGGCTAACATGTTATGTCTTCTTCTTCTTCAGGCCTAGATATTATGGAAGTAAAGGGAAAATATAAAAAGATTCCAAGTATTTGAACTGGGGAAGCAGATCAAATTGTTTTTGTTTCTTCAATGTCCACTTTGGAGAAGACAGCGGAAAACCCCCGATTCTTCAGGGCGTCCCGAAATCGCCCTTTACGACTTGTAGTTAGATACATCTAGTCCACTCTTTCCCCGAATCTGCGGAGGTGCATACATGGAAATGATTTTGTGCCCATTGCTTGAAGACACAACAAAGACCAAAATCATTCTTCTGAACCCATTCCAACATTTAGGAGGTTTTATATTCACTCTCTTTCTAACTACTTTTCGTATCCAAACGCCCCACTTGACAATACCCATCTTACAGGTTTCCACTGCATGTCGTAAAAAGACATTGATGTATGGCTTTCTGCTGAATTCGGGATTTTCCTTTTTTTTCTTCGGGTGAGTGGACATTTGAAGCGATCACAATTGATCTGCTCCCCTTACAATTGGGGTATGTATCTTTTCTTATCTCTTTCTTTTTGGCGGTTTCCCCTATATGACCCTGGCTGTTGCGAGGACATTAAACCTCAGACAAACTAACATCACAATTCTTAATTTGGCACCAAATTGTAGAACATCCGTCCGTATGAGGAAGGCAATGGGTTCCGTCCAAGGCAGGGCCATAGTAAAGTCCGTTGTAATGATAGTTATTTTCCCATTGTTAAATGTTCAGCACGTTTACGGTACTTTCACCAAGATGTTCAGGCGTTCCCATTGATTCCAAGTAATATTTCGGTCATCAACGATCTTAGACACCTTAAATACAACTTAGGATGATATATATTATTGCTAATGTGATTCGATCAGTTTCAACGGCGCTGAAATAAAATAGTATTGTTTGGTTTCAAAGTGCGGTAAGACCTTGCCCGAATACCTCCCAATTTCTTGCGGCCCAATAGCTAACTCTGCAATGAAAATCTTTCTTTCTTTATTGCAGACAATCTATGTGACGTGTTATGCTTGAATCGAGTTGGATTTACAAGATAACACATGCCACACTGATAACAAATTAAACCGCTGAAAAAGATGCGTTTACATAACCACTGTCAATAAACTTGTCTCTGTCATCACTATCTCGGTTCAAATTCGTCACGTGACCATCTAGGTACTATATTTAATATGGCTTCCCAGTACATACTGAGTAGTCAAACGGGATATATTGAATGGACTATGAATATAGGGATAGAAAGAAAACATAACACTGGCAGTACAGACAACACGTACATTCAATCATTGAGATATTGTTTTATATATTTGTCCCTTTGATAATGGCAGAGGCCAAAATTGTGAAGCTGGAAATCCTTATGATGACGTAAAAAATCTTTAAAGTGAACGTTTTAGACTTCAACCATATATTGGTCAGTTAGTGATCTGTATCAAACTTATTCCGACACTTTGGGTGTAGCGTTTTGTTAACAGATATTGGTATTTAAGAACGTCGTGTATTGGAGACAGTTCGTTTGTGTATTCGGCTTCTTGCGATAGCACGTATATGATGCCGACTTTCGAATGCTACCTTATGCACTCCACCCGAATGGTTTACAAAGCAACAGCCTACCATATTTAAGAAACTGCACTCAATAAGGATGGTTACAAAGGGAATACTCTATCATAGTTAAGATACTATACTCAATAAGGATGGTTAAAAAGGGAATACTCTATCATAGTTAAGATACTGTACTCAATAAGGATGGTTAAAAAGGGAATACTCTATCATATTTACGATACTGTATTCAATAAGGATGGTAAACAAGGGAATACTCTATCATAGTTAAGATACTGCACTCAATAAGGATGGTTAAAAAGGGAATACTCTATCATAGTTAAGATACTGAACTCAATAAGGATGCTTAAAAAGGGAATACTCTATCATAGTTAAGATACTGCACTCAATAAGGATGGTTAACAAGGAAATACTCTATCATAGTTAAGATACTGCACTCAATAAGGATGGTTAAAAAGGGAATACTCTATCGTAGTTAAGATACTGCACTCAATAAGGATGGTTAACAAAGAAATACTCTATCATAGTTAAGATACTGCACTCAATAAGGATGGTTAAAAAGGAAATTCTCTATCATAGTTACGATACTGCACTCAATAATGATGGTTAACAAGGAAATACTCCACCATATTTACGATACTGTACTCAATAAGGATGGTTAAAAAGGAAATTCTCTATCATAGTTACGATACTGCACTCAATAATGATGGTTAACAAGGAAATAATCCACCATATTTACGATACTGTACTCAATGAGGATGGTTAAAAAGGGAATACTCTATCATCGTTAAGATACTGCACTCAATAAGGATGGTTAACATGGAAATACTCCACCATATTTACGATACTGAACTCAATAAGGATGGTTAACATGGAAATACTCCACCATATTTACGATACTGAACTCAATAAGGATGGTTAACAAGGAAAAACTCCACCATATTTACGATACTGAACTCAATAAGGATGGTTAAAAAGGGAATACTCTATCATAGTTAAGATACTGCACTAAATAAGGATGGTTAACAAGGAAATACTCCATCATATTTAAGATATTGCACTCAATAAGGATGGTTAACAAGGAAATACTATACCACGTTAAAGATACTAAGTGAATCAGCTGTGATATCTTAACTTTAATAGACAGATTCTAGCAATGGAAAGCTGTCACTCGTAAACTGAATAGCACCAGGCTTATTTGTCTGTCCAGATATATTAATTCAGATGATTTTCTGATGTGAAGTGCTCGAGACTAAATGAGCTGTGATTAATCACTCATTCTAATATTCGATGTGAGCTTCAATAGATATCAAATGGGGTTCAGTATGGCACATAAACGTGTTATATTGCTTCCGTGGTTTTTAGAACAAAGAAAGGGATGATTTAATTTAATTTGCAATGCAGCTTTTCCAGAGGTAATCATTTGCTAACACCCAAAAGCGCAATTGGTTGTGAAATACATAAGATGTAAATGATTATGAAGATGTTTATGTGAAGAAAACTTACCTTATCGGCTAAAGCCAATGCGTGGAGATGGAAGATATAGTAACCTTCATCAGGTGCTATGAAGTCATGACTGGTGAAGTTGTACCCTGCCATAGCTGCGTTATTGTTGAAATCCTCGTTATACGCCACTTTGCCTCCATCAGTGATGGATTGGTTCACGTTTAAACCCACCGAAAACGCATGTGGTTTGTTTTGATCGAAGCCTTCATGATCTGCACGAAAAAGACACCTTAGTGTATTTACTAGTAGTTGATGAGTTTGGGAGAATATGGATGATTCCCCATTTAAGATGGTAACGCTAGATTATTCAGCAGAATAAATACTTTGTTTTTGGGCTCTCTACTTGAGTAATGAGTCAATTAATACAAATAAATCCTACGAAGCTTTTTGTCTTTCAAAACATTTATGTAAGCATGTATGTATATGTATACGGTAACAGAGGATAAATTACAACTGGTTTGGAAGGAACATAATAAGTGCAGTCAAACAAAACAGTAACTGAGTTGTTCAGTGAGACAACTCACCGAAGAATCCGGAATGCATAAGAACTCCGGTGAAGGTAGTATAGATCTCGTCCGCAGCCCCATAAATCGAATTGTCGTACTGATCATGAGCCTTTACGTACACTTGGTCACCGGGGTTGAGATAAAGCAGGGCGGAGTTCCCGGCGTCAGCAAATCCACTTGGACTTGGGGTGTGTGCATAAGCTGAGCATACCAATTGTGTGTTCTTGTACAGCTCAATCCACAGCTCTGTGTTCTGACGGGTAAGGGAGTAGAAGTGGAAGGCGTAGAGGCCCTGATAAGGACGAAAACGAGGGAAGTTACAAATCTGATTCAATGTACCTAACCTAATCTATAGAGATAGATGAACAGTTTTTTAATCTATTTTCATTGGTCACCGAATAGATGCATAGGACAAAAGAATACAAGGTGAGGTTTTGAATGGAATGCTGAGAAATAGTCATTGTGTTTTAAAAGGATATGGTAGTTGTTGGCGAGAAGGGAATGTATTTTGACGCATTAAAGAGTATGAAAGAAGTGGGAGTGTAGAATAGCTGTTTGGTTTTAACGAGTTTAGCACCTTATTAACAGCCCATGTCATTTAAGGACGTGTCCGTGCATATGAAATGCATGTATGCATGCGACTATCTGCTGGAGGTGGTATACACACATGGTCTTAAATTCGAAACTAACAAACTTCCGAATGTTTGTTTTCTTCTATTTCCCACAAGACATTTTGTTTCCTAGTCCCATGATTGGAAAGACCTAATTATCGCCTAGTGTTGAGCGTTTGCGAAAGATGGGTAGGCAACCGGTTCTGTCCCCTGGACGGGACATACTGAAATACTTAAAATGGTAGTTGTTGTTCCCTCGCTTTTATATAATGATATTATGATATATTGCCATTGTGAGAAATTATTTAGTTGGAATAGGAGGGGTTTCAGCATTCAGCATTACATGGATTTCTTCAACATTCGTGTGCAACTTTTGTTATGACTTATGAAATCCACTGTACTAGCTTATCACGCTTCTGTATAACAAACTGTCCAAATACCGATTAATGATCAAGATAAGGACATGCCTACCGAAATTTCCCAGAAAAATTATAAACTAACTTTATCGCTGGCTTTTCCAGTTGCTCAATATCCACACTTCTTACTACTGGTACCATTCAAATCAGTCTTAGGTCCTTGTTTTAACACTGTATACTCGAGAAATGGAATTCAGGCAAATATTTTCATGAAAATTGTTCATCGTACTTATAGCATGTCAATCTATTTGCGACCCAAACGTATGCCATGAAATGAGACACTATTTTAAGTTCAAGTATATACCTAGGTCAAGTGGGATTCAAGAAAGACGTTGCCATGTAAAAACCACTAAAATCATAATAAAATTAGTAGGAAATATATTTTAGCATTAGTTGGGCAGTGCTGGAATTGTTGAATGTTAGCTGTGAGCGCCAGAATGGCAGCACCGGCTGTATGCTCTTCATGGAGTTGAGAGGATATTGAATGGTTGTTAAGGCCTAATAACCACGGATAATAATTTGTGAACCGCTTGGAGACGACGAACTAGGATGTGATAAAGTGGTATACATAAGAACCTCAAATTATTGATTATATTGTAATTACTGTCAGGACATTGAACAGCGCAACACTTGGGGATCTTTTTCTTTCCATATCTTTCCTGACTTCTTTCTTTCTCTTTCCGATGTCTCACTCGGAACCCGTCCGCATTACCCGGTTGATGTGGGGACGATCATCCCGATTATGCATGTATTTTTATAGCAATGTTAAATGGCACAAAATGATACTTTATACAAGGTTTATGTATTCGTTACGATCACAAGGTCCTTTGTTTTATATATTTATACCAGTCAAATATGGTACTCGGACATGGTTTGTGCATTTTCACAGCCACCCTCATATGTTTTAACCTTGGTATATAAATAAATTTTAGAAAATATGTCGTTTTTCAGCATTCTGCTATGTCGCAAAAGGGATAGACATGCTATACACCCGGTGAACTATTTTTACGAAGTCATCCGCCTTAAAGCCTTATTGACTGCTTTAATAACGCTATGGATTACTTTAATACAAGTTAAATATTTTCAAATTACATATATGAATTTTGTGTGACTTTAGTATGTTCAGTTGGCTTATTGAACCTTAACTTACAACGTGACGTCTGTATATTACATAGCAAATGAGATCGAAGATTAAGCTACCCGAGTCAGAAAAAAAAAGATAAAAGTTTTGCATCCCAAACTAGTAATATCTAAAGAAGAATGTGTTATAGGATACCAGCAAGACGTCCTAGTAGTGAGTCTTCAGATTGCTGTTAACGTTTTTATATATTGCTTGATAAACAAGAGATCCCAGAGGGATCTTGGCGCCCACCTTTGTACCATCTTCATTAGTTCTTTGTCAGTTCGATCTTTTCTCTTCTTTCCTCTAATCTGTTTGATCGAGTCATGTTAACAGTAAATGCACCTTGAGGTAACTTTTGATCTAAACTTAATATTGATGTGTATGACAGCCAACCTTCAAAGTGAGTTTGTCATTTCACATATTTACTAGTGCAGTACTTAATGTGAAAGAAATAGAATCGATCATTGCAATAGGAGAAAGATCTGTTTAGTTCTTCTTTTAATCCATTTTGTCTCTATGATCAGTCTCAAAATATAACATGCACAACGAGAGATCAAGGGGAACCTACATATAAAAGACATATGAGAAAGATCCCTCTGGTACTTCCCGAAAAATAGCGATAACAAACTTTCACTATCAAAATCAAAGATGGCTGCCTGTCGGCCATGTTGTTTATCCAATCAGTCTCAAAAATTGCCCTGCACAGGTAGGACCAAGGGGAACCTACATATGAAATTTAAAAAAGATCCATCAAGTACTTCCGGAGGAATAGCGATAACAACCTTTCACTTTCAAAATCCAAGGTGGCTGCCTGTCGGCCATGATGTTTATCCGATCAGTCTCAAAAAATGCCCTGCACAGCTAAGGACCAAGGGGAACCCTCTGGTACTTCTTGAGAAATACCGATAACAAGAATTGTTTAAGGACGGACGACTGACCACGGACGCAGGGTGATTTGAATAGCCCACCATCAGATGATGGTGGGCTAAAAACAGGTTGCAGTGGAGATGAAATGCCCATCAAATCAACATACGATTTCCGCCCAGGTACCTATTGCAATGTTTAAGTGAGAATGGTGCACTGGAAGTTGACCGTCGTCTGTGTGCAAGTTAGACGAAGGACGAGGACGTTATTTTCAACGTAGAAAGGGATCGCGAACAGTAATTAGAGGCTTTAACTGGGTTATTCCGGCAAAACATACCGGAATTACGTTTAAAAAAAACTAGTTCCCAAGATTTACCAAAACATTTTCCTCCAACCTTAAACAGGTATTTTCTTCAAGAAACACTATATCTGGATTAAGTGAAGTTAGTGTAAAATGTATCTCTAAAAACTAATAATAGTTTAATAAATATACAAGTATAAACTATAAAATTCAATAACATCAAAGTCTCCTACCGATATGATGATGGTGATCATCGGTCAAGATAAAGGGTCAAAGGTTTTATCTGACAAACCTTGGGGATTGGGGTATTCCGTCTTTTCGTATTGCAGGTATTGATTGTTACATCATTTGTTTGTGAGAGTAACGTCATCAATGTTTGAGAAAACGACGTAATTTTCTCACACAAGCCAATTACGTAACAATCAATACCTGCTCACAAGAGAAGATGAGTCTGTACGCAAAGACGGAATAGGTAGGTGAACCATCGGTCACTTTGTTTCTATATATAACTTCCAGCAACAAAGATAACATGTTGTGTTAACAACCTTGTGACGTAAAAATGATCACGACAAATATGGACTAAGAATTAACATTATAATATATACAATCATCAATAGAATATTGCTATTATTTGGGTGTGAACGAAATTAATTGATTTTGTTTTTGAATCATAAATGACCGAATCATTAATAGATAATTGTTCATATCACTAAAAGTGAAATCATAATACGAACTACTTTCTACCTCATGCCGAATTACTTGACAGTATATTCTACAATTACAATGTTGAGCTTTTGAGATTGACGTATTTGAAAAAAACATGCATTGACGCTTTTCTTGGTCATTCTCAAATACGTATATATAAATATAAAAAAAACCGTAAATGCTTTAAGAAACTATTGATGAACATGAGGATGACGAGATACACATCATGGTATATGATGTCAGAACGTGCCAGAAATAAATGGTTTTAATCCTCAGAAATGACATAAAATAGACCTACTGTCTTAGTTGCGTTAAAGACGCCATCGCTGCCAATGTTGGCATCGACGGATGTGATGATTTTGTCGTAATTCAGAGTTTCTCCCTGAAGTAGATGTAAATGTGAGGTCTGTCCTTTCGTGAAAGCCACCGTTGGCATCAGTGTACTACCTTGGCCATCTGTAACAGAAAAGATAACATGTACAATAACAGTAGATTCCGATATTGTCTAGCTTCAAGCGTCGTCAAACTTATCTCTAAAACGCTACTGGTCAAGAACAACTTAATGGATTTTGATTCTATCAGCTCTGGAGCATTGTTGATCAAAGGGAACTCAGCGTTGTATAGTTTTATAGTTTGGTCCTTCTGGGGGAATAGGGGCGGGGCGCAATAGTGGTACCATACAAAAGTAAATATTTCAAATCTAATACCTTCAAGGGTTTCAACCAGGCGCAGATCAGCTTGAGGTCAAGGGAATGTAATGCTGTGTAGGCAGTATTTCATACATGTAGTATTAACTGAATTCAACATAGCATTACCTCAAAATGTCACAATGCATTATGCTTGGTTCCCAGACATGTGAGAATACTTATTAAACTTTGAACTGTTTTTGTATGACATTTATGATATAATTGAATGCCACAGCTTTGCAAGCAAACAAATCATAATGACCTGCGAAGAAGAAAAAAACGACAAGTATGACGAAGAAGAGCACCAGGTCTGGCCGAGGCAAGAAGAAGGCGCTATCACCCTCACCCTATCCTTATCCTCGCCGTCATCCACTAGACTTAAAGCTGCTGATTTTCCTGCTGCCGTCCGCCGCTCTCAGTCTCCTTCTCCCTTAGTGGATCAGTAGCTGGTTCTGTGGCTTCCAACGCCTCCAATACAAGCAAGACGGAGAGGGCCAAGAAGCCTGCTGGTCTCCTGTCCATAGACGATGAAGAAACCAAGCTCGAGTTTCTGTATGACAATGAAGTCCTGTACAACGTCAAGATGAACGACTTCCGGAGGACGGAACAAGATCTAGGAGGACTAGGCCGCGAGCATGGGCAAGATCAGTGTTCTTCTCCAGGGCTGGTTCAAGTCCTTGCGAGATACGTACATGTACACTCGCATGGACAAGAAGAAGAATGGGGATCATAGAGCAAAGTTTAACTTCCTTAAGACAGTCACCCGCCACTATTTTAAGCCCTGCGATATTGTAAGTATTGCTACAAATTTTCTCTTTTTCTCGAACGACAAGTGACTTGGTGTGGTGAGGGATCCTTTACCCGAACTTCGTCAAGGCAAACGTGCTCCCAGAGGCAAGGTAACGCCGCCGTCACCTATCGATCCATGGTCTTACCAAGACCCCTTCCAATGACATCTTCTCCTCCATCTTCTATTGGCATGGAACTGATAAGGCCTAATTCGATGAGATTCTGCTGATGTTGGAGAACGACTGTTTGTTATTCTTGTCGCAGCCGCTCAGGATCCTCCATCTTCTCTAAAGGTTGGGTTGAGCAGTGACGATGAGTTACTCATCGGGACCCTATATATTCCGTCTTTGCGTATTGCAGAGTTATCTTCTCTTGAGAGCAGGTATTGATTGTTACGTCATTTGTTTTTGAGAGTAACGTCATCAATATTTGAGAAAACGACGTAATTTTCTCACACAAACCAATGACGTAACAATCAATCCCTGCTCTAAAGAGAAGATAACTCTTCAATACGCAAAGACGGAATACAGAGACACCAACCCACTGGACTAACAGCACGTTCAATAAGTTACTCATAAATTACTTATACGTTCATTTGCGTTGCAGATACGTTCGACATAGGTTTGAAGTAAGTTAGAAGTACGGTAGACTTCATCAGACGAATGCATAACGTATGAGTAACGTATGAAGCATACGTTCCATACGTCGAATTATTTTGTGCTTGCACAGAACACTTTGGGGGGCTTGACGTATGCCAGCGTGTGACACCGTGCTGTTAACGTATGTAGCGTGTGCGTAACGTACCCTGAACTGATATCCGCGTACACCAGCGCATGCTACCGTGTTTGAAAAAAAAAGTGGCATACGCTGGTGTACGCTAGTGCTATACGCTATGATGTGACAGGGCCATGAACGATTGCTCAATATTCACGCCAAAAGCGCAGTTCTACCAAGTACGAAAATAATCGTCAGAAAGGAATTAAAATATATAAATATAAGAAATGTTGCAAAAGATTTGTTTTAAGTACAGGACACAAAAGCGAATCTGCAAAGGTTTCCCCGACATAAGCCGTGCCTTAATTCCGGAAATACCTCTGTAGGGAAAAACAAACTTGTTGATAAAGATGAATATCATACAAAGAGAAAAAAATAAGAAAGCTGAAACTATTACCAGCTCCAAGAATCACAACGGTCAGCGCAACAACAATAGACAAGGCGGCCATGTTGTTCAGTATCGTCCTCGTCCGTCTACTGTCTCCGCAGACGTACCACCTCACGCCTACATTCAAGATAGATATACGCGTTATCGTCCACCAGACTGGAATTTCACACGACCTTGAAACAGATACCGATTTAATGGTGTTCCACTATTAATGCAGAACAATGGCATCGTCTTAAATTCAGGTCAATGTACTACAATCACACACAATTATAGCACCAGCGTACACCAGCGTTGGCCCCGCCCGTCAGCCCCCTGGGGGTCAGCCCCACCATTTGTATAATTTTGAATCCTCACCACCTAGGGATGCTTCCAGTCAAATATGGTTGATATTCATCTCTTAGTTCCAGAGAAGAAGTCGCTTAAAACAATATAGCCAAATTGCCTCCTTTTGGCCCCGCCCCTCAGCCCCCTGGGGGGGCAGCCCCACTATTTGTACAATTTTGAATCCCCACCACCGAGGGATGCTTCCAGTCAAATATGGTTGATATCCATTCTCTTAGTTCCAGAGAAGAAGTCGCTTAAAGCAATATAGCCAAATTGTCCCCTTTTAGCCCCGCCCCTCAGCCCCCTAGGGGATCAGCCCCACTATTTGTACAATTTTGAATTCCCACCACCTAGGAATGCCTCCAGTCAAATTTAGTCAAATTCCAATCAGTGGTTAAGAAGTCGTTGAAAGAAATTGTTGACGTATGGACGACGACGGACAACGGACGGTCGACAGACGCCACTGTATGGCATAAGCTCACCTTGTTCCTTCGGACCAGGTGAGCTAAAAATACAGATTTTGCATAACAGATTGAAGGTAAGCGCTTTAAGGAATTTGCGCACTCATTATCTGAAACATTCTGAACGGTTCGTCATCAGAGGCGAGGTCATCAAGGCGAATTAATGCTGGCTTTTGTTTTTGTTTGTACAAGGTTTATTGTTCTCGCAACAGCCAAGGAAGACCACCCCTGAACGTCGGGGATTAAGACAAGAGGCCCATATGCCTTAAGCTTAACCTAGTTTTATAGTAAAAAAAAATATTATTGAAAAGTGAGGGGGACATAATTTAGTAACAACTTCTAAAAGTTAAAGGGGCATCACGCTGAAGTAACTATTTTTTTGTCTTTTTTTTTTTCAAATACTACATAAACATATCAAGTGAGACTCCTTATGGAAAATAACGATCGGATTTGGCTGAAATAGATTCATAAAAATGATCAAATCTAAGATAATCATCGGTATTTCTACCTGTCTGACCAACGTTTTGTTCAGGGATTTCCCTCTACTAGCGCATGCGCATTGCACACCACTTCTTTGTAAACAAAATGACTGGCCGTGTGAAGTAAGCCAAAGAAAAAGTGTTGTACCGTGTCAGCTACGAAGCGAAAAGTTGCCAAATGGTCAAAAGATAGCGCAAGGAGTACGTTACGAAATCATTATTACAGGTGGGAAGTATTCAAAGGAGAAAATAACTGTCCTAGCAGTAGGTACGATGCATGTATTCTTCCGGATAGCCGGTTAAGCTGAAATGGAATCGACAGAAATGCTTTATTTATAAATATCTAAAACTATTTACCTCGCTAGTATCTTTGTCTGAGTTTGAACACAGATGAACTTAGTTTAATATGTCAATGAGCATGTATCGGAGAGAGTTTACTTTGTGTTTCTATAATTATACAGTGGTTTATGCGAAAGGAAGGGATAAGTGACTGGTTAGTTTGATTTTGTCATGCTGAATTTTTTGTTTGTTTTTACATACAAGATTTAAATTGGTACTAGTATGAATACCCGGCTTCGACACAATATATAAAAAAAATCTCTCGTCGTCAGAAAGCTACATTATCGCAGCTAGATTAAAAATGTCAAAATGACGGGCCAGGATGAATACTGAGGAAGGAGAACCTACTTCTAGTAACTATCACGTATTTTTTTTTTAAATCGTGATTTTTCAACAGTTCATGTTTTCATATGTTGTTGATTTAGAATGTATGATCATGTAACAATCTTTTCTCTATAAAGAATTAATTTTC